GAACTCCTACAGATGGCTGCCATAGTTTGAAGGACCAGCTCTACAATTTATGGGGCCCCTTGTTCAATGATTGTTAAGAATTTCAAGATAGCCTCAGCAGGCTCTTCTGAGTGGGAGCCCTGGGTGGCCACCCAGGTTGCATGTCCATGAAGTGGGACCTGGATGGCCCAAGGGCAGAGGCCAAGGCCACCATTGGGGCCAGAAAGGCCACAAGATGTGAAGTCTACTCAAGAGACCATCCGGAGGCCTTTCCATGGCGGCCCCTTCCCCTCATCTGCTTTCTATAGGAGCTCACCGACAGGGTGCAGCACCGCAAGAAGTGGGGAACAAAGATAACTGTGGGTAAAACAGGGCCAGATCAGGACAGCAAAAATAGTCTTTCTGGAGCCTAATGGATTGTTCCAGGGTGATGCCTAAATTCTCCAAATAATTTAACACAGAGAGCTGGGAAATAGCTTAATGAGAGTCCCCAGGCCTGACTATGAATATAGGTTGGGGTCAGAGTCTGGCACAATTCCTGATTCTGGCTACCTTTCTCTGTAATCAAAGTTCTGAACTGCCCTCACCTTCCATGTGCCCTCACTTGGCCCCCTCACAAAGCACAAGTGAGGAGCCCACTAAGTGAGCCCACAAAGGGTGGCTGGCCAGAATCCCAGGGATTTACACAAACCCCTACCCAGCACTTGGGGCAACCAAGATCTGCAGAATCACTTCCAAGCAAAACACCATATTTATTGGGCATCCTCAGTTTAGTTTCCCAAAAGAGCTGCCTGCGAGTCAGACTTTCTCAAAGGAATGGAGCACCCCCTGCTGGGTAAATAGCATCGCCATTAAGCTGTCCACTACCAAGCACCAACATCTGAAAATACACCGTTAATGAATTAACCTCGTGTAATACCCAGAAACAACAGTATGAGTCATAGTGATACAGTTGTGAGTTATAGAAGTTATATATGGATTTGGTAATAAGTGGATTTTTTAAATGTTTCATGACTCTTGAGTTCCGAACAATTTTTTTAAGATCTTTATCTCAATTATGGAAACGAGGTAAACATTTTGAAGTACTAAATGTTCCAGTAGGATATCCTACCATTTCAGAGAGGAGTGGTCACAGAAGATCCCATAGGGGAGGCTGCATGGTCCAGGCAGAGGACATGGGTTTGGAGATCAGCCAGCCTAGGTTGCAATGCATTTACTACTGGAGTAGTTTCAAGTTGGAACAAGTTGTTCGGTTTTGAGTTACCATCTCGTGATCACGAGGACAATAATATCCACCTTCAAACGTGGATGTGAGGGCTGGATCCTGTGCCTGAAGCACTCAGAAGCGCTCAGTTAACTGTGGGTGTTGTTGTTACTGTTACTCTATTATTAAGAAGTGGGTCTAATGGGCTTCAAAGGATGGGCAGCTCCTGGATGCAGATCCTACCTTCCCAGTGGGCAGGGGCTGCATCTGGAGGCCTGCATCTGGCTCAGAGAATTTGCCCCTGGGTCACAAGAGCAGTGTTCACACTGGGTACTCCAGTTCCTTTAGAACCCCACAACCATGATCAGGGTGCTGGCTTCATGAAATATACTTCTCACTGGGCCCATCTGGACAATTCTCCCTCTAAGAGATACCCCTGGTCCCTCTAATTCCACCTCTGTCTTGCTAGCTGAAGCCACCTTCATCTCTCTCTTGAACCAGTGCAAAAGCTCTTCTGCTGTTCCACCTCTGTTCTTAGCTGCTCAAACCCAGGGTAACTTCTATTTGATAAAATAAAATCTGATTGGGACTGCTCCCCTAGCTCCCCCAGCTTACCTGCCCACCTTGCTTGTAAGGCCAGTCTCACCTCTGGGCTTTTTTACAATTCGCTCTCCCTGCCATCGATCCTCATCCCCTAAATTCTTCCTTCCCATCCTTTGGGTGTTGGCTCATACACTCAAGGAAGGTATGAGAAATAGCACACTTTTTTTTTTCAAAGCAAATTAAATTTTTTTGGCCTCTGCTGTGTTGCAGCAGAAATTAAATCTGTGGTCACTGGGGTGTTTCCTCCTTTTAGGGTTTCACAAGCATTTGGGATGTTCATGAGTGACCTTGAAAGTGGGCGAGGACCTCTATTCTTCAGCTTATCTGGGTCACGGCTGCTATCCTCATGGCCAATTCTGAGGGGCTCTGGAAGGAGGTGGTTCCAATGTTTGGGGGTCTTTGCCTAGGCTGGAAAACACCCCAAAATCACAAGCCTCTGAAGCTCGTCTCACTGGGTACCACCAGCAACTGGGGCACAGCTTTCCACTACTCTTTAGAGGCTCCTCCTCTCCATCCCTCCCCGGCTTCCCAAGCAAGGGGTAAAGTTGTTTTTGAACTCATCTGTTCCCCGTTAGGGACAAGAAGTTCGAAGGACCCAACCACTTGGAGTAGGAAAAATTCATAAACAAAATTAATATTTGAAGTTATGTGCTATAAAGGCTACTGTTACAAGGTCTCACCGTGATTATCCAATCTAAGTCAGGTCTCCCAGTCCCACTCTCTATACGCTTTGGTGTAGGGCCACACTGTTGGGGCCCAGTCTGGTCTGTTGGTACACCCATCTCTGACTACTGGCTCTGTGTTGGCTGCCAAGAGTTCATGGTTGCACTGTCCTCCGGGCAGCCTGGTCCCCTGACAATGCCTAGGGTATGTCTTCCCAGGGGGACGGTGGGAGGGGCAGAACCAACGACTGTACATTGCACACTGAATACAAAGGCCTAGCCACTTGCCTCAAGGTGGGGAAATGTGGTGACGTCACATTCCCGAGCACCTATGGAACCTGGCTGAGGCTCGACTTCAGCCTGACACTCTCTCTTTGCTCAGCTTCCTTCTCCGCTCTAGCCTGTTTCCCTCACAGGCTCCTCCGGAGAGCACAACCTCACTAAATCCCTTACACAAGACACTCGGCCTCAAGCTTTGCTTCTAAGTACCCAACATAAGTGACATCCCATTATTGCCCTTCCCCAGCACATGTCACAATGGAAAAGCATAAATGTGTACAACTATTGGCTTGATGCTCATTTCCCCCACTAAAAAGCGGAAACCATACTTCTGTTCACTGCTGTATCCCCAACACCAAGTGAGGTGCCTTTTACAGAGGAGAGTGATGCACGGTTTTGAACTGGACGCCGCATGAGCACAGCCTCTCAAACCTTGCTCTGCAGACTTTCCTCTTCGGGTGCTGAGCTACATTTGCTTGAAAAACCGCCCTACAACAGCTGCCTAGCATCTCTCGTGGCCATCATCCCCAAGCTGGTCCTACATAGATTCCAAAGCCGCAGTGGATGGTGTGGCCCAGGTTTGGTCACCCAATTCCTGACACAGTGAGCTGTGGTTTCTGACACCACGTCACAGGTCAAACTTGGCGTGGGGGGGCAGTTGTTAGATGAGGGTATAAACCAAGCAGATCCATCAACTGCTATTTTTCAGGCAATCATACTGTGAGTCAGTGGGAATTGAGAGAGCTCTCACATTTTACACCTACCTTTACCTGTACCTTTCGTCCCCCTATACCCCTGGGAAAGGCTGGGTTCGTACGAACATGCCCTTGATTCCTAGAGGTCAGCCTCTTAGCTGTCACATACCTCAAGGGAAGTTGTAGTAAAACCCTCATTTAATTAGAATGTGTAGGAACCGTGGCATCCCAGGTACTTTCATTTTTTGAAAAACTTCTCTTAGTATACATATTTTCTGACCATTGTAATTCTCTTTTCTATTGGGTTGTCTGTCTTTTGTTATTGAGGGGCTGGTGACTTCGGGTCTTTATTCTGAGATGAATGACTTGTAGGCAAGACACTGATGCACAGGGAGATTAGCGTGGATGTGTCTGGATTACCGGAGAGTTGCCACAACCCTGTTTCTGATTGAAACCCTGAAATCAGCTCATTTGTGATATACTTCTTCCTAAAAGCTAGGTAAACAAGAAGACCCCATAAAAAAGAAGAGAGGTGCCTGGGTTCAGTCGGTTGGGCATCTGCCTTTGGCTTGGGTCGGGATCCCAGGGTCCTGGGATGGAGCCCTGTGTCAGGCTCCCTGCTCAGCGGGGAGCATACTTCTCCCTCTCCCCCCACCCCACCTGAAAAAAAACTCATGCGCAGGTACTCAAAATCCTAAACAAAAACAAAAAAAAGCAGAAGAGACGCTTCAATTATTCAGTGTTTCTAGTTTTTGAATGAGGGATACAGAAACATAAGTCGGGGCCTCTTCCCACAGTTCACAACTTAGGTAAGAAAACGAGAGACACCACTTAACAGAGGCAAGTAATTCCAGGAGACAAACGTCCATGGATGTGCTTTACAAAATGAGTTTGTTTTTTTTTTTTTTAAGATTTATTATTTGAGAGAGAGAGGGAGAGCGAGTGGGGGGAGGGGCAGAGGGCGAGAGCGAAATCTCATGCAGGCTCCCTGCTGAGCATGGAGCCCGACCTGGGGCTTGACCCCAGGACCCTGAGATCATAACTTGAGTTGAAATCAAGAGTGGACGCTGAACCGACCGAGCCACCCAGGCCGCCCTCAAAATATGAGTTGTTATATAAATGTGTAACTGCACACGGGCTTCATGGTGTTTGTTGTATCTGAAAGGACTGTGAAGACACGAAATCTTATTACTGGATAAAACTAGTGGTCCAGCCAGCCAAGGGTCCTTTCCAGTGGCACCTTATTAACTTGTAGAGAGCAGAAGTACCTGCCAGATAACCTTTAATCTGCGAATTTATCCACATTTTGAAAATGCCACAGGGGATCTTAGGAATCCCAGCCATCAGTGAGTGGGTTACCCAGACATCCATCCTACCCGCAGGTGCTATACACTGCGGCTCAGAGGGAGGCATGTGAGCAGTTAACGCTTTCCTTACACCTGGCTTCCCTGTCTTTGCCCATCCCTCTCATGTCTTCAGTCACCTATGTCACGGGACACAAGTAAGTAGATGGGATGGGTTAAACTCTGGGTTAAACTCTGACAGTAAAGCAAAATCAGAGTGAAAGGCAAATGCTGTACCAGTCACATTCAAACACAAGCTAGTGAATGAAGAACTTTTGGTTCAAAGGGCCAAATACTCGGCATTCCTGAGAAATCTCAATCAATTCCTCATTCTGGTATTTCCACACTGCATTCTGCTGTCACAAAAACTAGGTGGGTGTACATTTTTGAGTGTAGATGTACCACTTCAAGATCTGAATGAGGAGATGAAAGAAAACATTTTGTATCTATGTATTTTTCAAAAATCTGTCCATGAAGAAGGAGCCAGGTGTTAGTTTCCTATAGGGGGAACATTCTCATGGAGATACTGTAAGGCCAAGTCGGTCCACTTCATTTCTTGTTCTTTAACAGATTCTGTGGTGCCACCGTTGTCCTGTTCAGGTTCAGGAAGCTCATTCTGCAAAGGTACAATGGACATTCAGAATGCTGGTATACTCTGCATTAACAAACCCCTTAAAACTCAAGAGCACTTAGAATTCAAACCTGTGAGTTCTTAGAAACAGGCAGCATAATTGACATAAGTGAATCCTAAAGAAAGAACTGGGATAAAAAGATCGATCCTTTGTCTCCTCTTTGGCAATGAGAGGAAAAAGTAGCCATCACCTCATAGGACGGCTATGAAACTAAATGAGGTTAATTGAGATCAAGTGCTCACCACTGTGGGCGGCCATCTGATGCTCAAGGAATAGCTGCTATTATTCCTAGAGGCTAGGATCACCGAAAAGACCCAATACTGAGTCCTTTTTTGGGAGGCTGCTTTAATTGAATAGCACATTTGCTGGAATATTCCTTAAGCACAAGAAATGTATTAAAAAAAAACTATCCTGTACCCAGCATGCCTATATTCTTATGGAGGTGAGTGGAGAGCACTGAAAATGTACCATAGTAGATGAGACGTTCCCCTAGTGGAACACAGCGACATAAACCCCGGTAAATGACCGGTCCCTCCCTGCCAGTAACTCTCTTAGAATAGTAAGCCGTGGCCTCGCTTAGTGTGGAATCTGACGTATAGTGTTTTCTTCAGCTTGAGATTTAATTTACATAAAATATTGTGTGAGTTTAAGGTGTACAACATGATGATCTGACATATATACTATGAGATGATTATCACAATAAAGCTAGTTAACACATTCATCACCTCATTATAGTTAACTATGTTTTTATGTGTGTGGAAACTACCAAGAACTTTTGGTAGTTTCCTTATATTTTAAATTTAAATTTATTACTACCAGGATTCTGCTTTGTCCCAGAGTTTACTGACACCAATATATTGCTTTTCAATTACTTGAATTTATACTTTTTTGGGGGGCAGCAAACTGTTACCCAATATTGAGATTTTCAATTTCCCACTGATTCCAATTTGCAGTATATGAATGTTTTTCTCCTTCAAAATTATGCTCAGTATATATAAAATGATTTACGGTATGTACAAATGTATCTGAACCGCACACATGTTTTTTAAACATAATACTGAGATTCAAACATATTTGTACAAATTGCAAAAACCTATCATTTACTGTAAAGCAATCATACATTCAAACTTAAAGAGAAAGTTTGGTTCCAATAATTATTTATAGCTCACAAAGCACAAAAAAGTCTTTGGTTAGTGAATTATTTGATTGACAGACAAGCAACTTAATTTCATCTTATCTGTGGTATATGTTGTGTGTGTGTGTGTGTGTGTGTGTTTTGAGAGAGAGAGAGTCTGTGTGTGTGTGTGTGTGTGTGTGCACCCAAGCAGACTCTGAGCGCACTGAGCCTGGAGCCCAATGCCGGACTCAATCCCAGGACCCCAAGATCATAACCTGAGCTAAAACCAAGGGTTGGACACTCAACCAACTGAGCCACCCAGGTTCCCCTCTGTGGTGTATGTTCTAAAATAGTATTTTTTCATTTGGTCACTACGGTCTCTTACACCGAATGCCAAGATGAAAAAATGTGTATGTGCTTGGAAACCAACACAAAGTATCATAAGGTATCATAAACACAACCGTCAATTATGGTTTACTACAAATTGGCCTCAATTGTTGGCAGTTACCCCCATGAAAAGGCAGAGTCGTTATTTCCCCAATTTCAGACTGGGACTGACTGAGTGACTTGCTTTGGCTAGCAGAGAGCAGCCGCAGTGTCCGTGGGCCCATTCTTGGCTAAGCTCCATGAAGCCTCAGAGTCCCTCTCCTGCTGCTCTTGGAATCCTGAGATGGCCATGTGCAGTCTAGGCTTGTCTGCTGGGTAATGAGGCTTTGACCTCGCCACCTCATCATCCCAGCTGACCTGCTTACCTACCAGACATGTGAAAAGTCTCCCCATCCCCCAGCCTCCAGCTGGCCTGCTGACTGCCTGCAGAACACCAGCAAGTCCGGCAGGGATCAACCGAGCTGGCAAAGACTGGAAGACCCTCTCAGCTGAGTCACAAAATCATGAGATAAACAGCTGTTGTTTTAAGTCACTCTGGGGAGATTTGTTAGGTAGCAACAAAAGCTAACCAGTGCACATTCTCTGAGAGTCATGAGACACAGGAAAAGACAGAATAACAAGAAGGCCAGGCTACAGCCTGGATGTTAGCATGGAAATTTCCTTCTCCCTCAACCCCTTCCACAGCAGTGGTCCCCAGATCCTGCCATAAGCCTGTCCAGGATCCAGCAGTTCCCCTCCACTGGTGTGCCTTTGTTCAGGCCCGCCTCCCTGCCTACACTATTGTGATCACTTCCTCACTGGTCCTTCTGCCCTGTCACTCGCCCCTTTCTCTATGGCACACATTCCCTAACAATTCCCTTCGGAACTGACGTTCTAAAACTCAAATCTGAGTGTGGCAGATTTCTATTTTGAAGACCACACATTCCTGGTTATCCTCAGAATGAAGTCTAAGTATGGCATTGTACACTCCTCTCAAAATCTGGTCCAAGCCCATCTTTTCTGCCTACCTTAGATGACAAATATAGTCTCTGTCCACACTGAATGTCTCACCATCTCCCAAAGCCTTTCAAAACTGAGCCTGTGCACATCTGTCCCCTCTGCTGGGAGTGCCCTTGTCTACCCCCACTAAATTTCTGGCCCTCCCTTATGATCATCTTAAATATTACATTCTCTCTGAAGCCTTTCCTGATGCTCAACAGGCATCAGCCACCTCCTATCCTATGTTGCTATTCACAACCCGGCTTGTAACATTTATTATTGTAATTACTTATTTCTATGTGTTGCCTCTTTAGATCCCCAGGGGCAGGAACTGTAGCTTATGCTCACATAGTCTTATGGCACACAGTAGGCTTCAAAGAAATGCCTGTCAAGTGAAGAAACAAAAGCTTACAAGACAGGATCTGGAGCCTTCACACAGACCTAAGTGTGAAGTCCAACTTATCAGCCACCCGGCTTTGCACAAGTTCCCCTCTCTGATCCTATTCCCTTCTATAAAATGGAGATAACACCACTGCCCTTGCAAGGGTGTTTCAACGGTTAGAGAGAACGTATGTCAAATTTCCACCTCAGTCCATGGCATAAAACTGGTATTGAGTAAGTGGCAGCTACAATTCTCACTGTGTGCTCCCTTTTGACTATTTTTCTAAACTTGAAATAAGCTGTGACTTATTATCTGATACGTGTATTATTCACTGAGCATAATATCATCTCTTAGTCTTAAACGAAAATACGGGTAAGTGGAATTTTATTTCTCAGTAAGCAGCAGCAGTATACTTGGAAGCTGCATTTTATTAACAGCTCTTCTCAGGGCACTTGGCAGGTTCTGAAGAAAAACAGTCCCTGGAGTCTCTTCTTGTTTTTTGTTAGGCCTCTATGACATAAATAGGATTTAAAAAGCATTTATTAACGCAAAACTTTTAGATCATTTATTATAGGAGGTTCAACAAACTCCCTGCAGGAGAGTTCTCTAGTGGTCGGGAAAGAAAAGAGGGACCCCTTTGGTCTAAATGCAAGAGGAAAGCCAGGTGTCTTCCAAACATTTTCCAGGGAAACTAGGATAGGTGTGTGTTTCAAAAGTATGTCTCTAAAAATAGCAAATGATCAACCATAGGTAGATAAGTAAGAAATACAGTGTAAATGCCATTGCTTCTTGTTCCTCTCCATCTTTTGTACATTGGACTCTCATCATCTGGTTTACTAGCTTTGGTGTGGCAGACAGAACATGGTTCAGAAGTCTTGAGTCCAGTCCTGGCATGACCCCTAACTGATCTCATCATATCAGCTCTCTGAACCACAGTTCTCTTCAAATAAAAAGTCAAACTATCCAGTGTCTTCTAGAGTTAGAGAACTCCACAGCTTTGATTTCTCTGCCCTACTAGTTTGTCCATTGACATTCAACTTCCACTAGGGCTCACCAGATCATACCTTTAACCCACCATCCTTGGCAAAAATTATAGTTTACCAGTGGTATTGCAACATCCTCATATGGTAGCTTGTCTTCTCGCCAAGCATCGTCAATCAAGTCCAAGATCCTTCCATCTCTCTGTACCTCACTGTCCATTCTCCTGCAGCTTTGATCTTGTCAGACCTGTAAGCCAAAGAGGTTATTTCTTAAGCATGAAGACTGAGTAGGTGATGTAATCTAGCATTAGGACTCCCCAGGCTTTTTAGCCTGCATGTATCTTTTGGTATAACATCACCCTGGGAAATGGGAAAGACTCATCTTCTCATCTGGGTCAGGTGACAATCTATTTCTAAGATCACAGTCTTTCCCTCCTGCCCATCCCCTCCCCCCCCATGGATGTTTTATAGCACATATAGGACAGACAGCAGATATAGCCTAGTTGACACACCAGTGTCACAGTGTGACAGAGGCCTTGTGTACAAGGCCACAGTGTATCTAGAATATAGCTCTTCTCTCCTAATTTGCATATTCACCTTTCCCTGTTCAGGATGCCTTTGATGAATCCCTGATTAATAACCAAGTCTCCTCTCTGTCCCCTTTAGCTTTTTGCTGCACTACTTTTTACAAAAGTCTCTACCTGACTTGGCTTTAGTATTAGCATTCTTAGGCACAGGAGCTAAATGAACGTACTAAGATACTGAACTGGGCTATGCAAAGTGACCAACTACAGAGCTGACAGAAATCCTCAGCTGAATTTGTAAAGGAAACTGCCTTTCTTAAAATAGTGCCCAACCCGAGTTCTGAAAGGGGCACCTCCAAGCGAACAACAGTAGCAGGACTCTTTGCTGCTCATTTCTGCTTCCCTTTGGGGTTCCTTCCTCTGATTTTTAATGCTGTACTCCCTTCAATGCCTGGACCAAGTGGTCAAGATGTTACTTAGCCCTTGGCCATGACTGACTCTCCATTTTTTCTCCCAAACAGCTGCAGCCAGCATGGAGGGTACCTCTGGATTTCCTGTTTCTTAGTTAGGGCTCTGCTGCTTCATCACGGGTTATCACTCTACTGTGTTCCCTGCCACAAAGCAGCCATCCCGATGGCCTGGAAGCCAATGGCACCAAAGGTACTCCCAGTCACTCCTAGTTTCTGAGGCTATGAACATTCATACAAGGAACAATCTTGAGGGGTGGACTCCAACTCCTTCATACAGACCCATGCTTGGCCCCAGTAGTATGACTGCATCATAGCCCTAATGCCTGGGTAATAATTATACAGGTTGGGGTGGGATAAGAGTTCTTACCTCCATAGTAAAGAGCCAGGCAAAACTGAAGCAGAAGGTGCCCAGCTATTTTGGCCACCAGTGAAACAGCTGAGGCCTTGATGTTTCACTCAAAAATTAATTCAGTACTACCCAGTGGATAACTCAAAACAAGTATAAGGATATTGTCTTTAGGAAACGTACACACAGTTCCAGTTATATTTTTGGAATCCCTGTCCTACAAGAACCCTTTTTCTTGCTGCCACTCCTTTGTCCCTGCTGCTCTGTCCCCTGGGATACCCTCCTCATTTTACCAGTTGATCAGAACTAGCTAATTTTCCCAGTCACACACAGATTCCTCTGTTCTGTAGTTTTTTCAAATCATTCCAGCTTCTGTAAGCATTCTGCCCTTGAACGTTTCCTTCTTGTCTTTATGATCCACCTAAAAAGTTAGGCAGTCTCTGTAACAGATTGCTCAGGTATCCGTGTCTACAATTATTATGCGTAAATTTTGCAGACTCTTTCCCAAAGATGGGCTTTTGGAGCACATCGTTCCCAAATTTGGCCTCAATCTTTTTTCATTGTCCCTCTTCCAAACACCACTAACCCTGCCATACTTTCCAGCCTTTGCCCTTAAAAGCCCCTTTTCCCCCCTCACTAACGCCTGTTTTCCTTCCAAACTCAACATTGGTGTCAGCTCATCTGGTCAACATCTCATTTCCAGAGTCAGGCGCTAAGGTGCCTTCACTCTTCAGGGGCTGGAAGCGTGGAAAGCATCAAGACAGGCAACGTCCAGGACACGACCACTGTCCCAAACACTTGCCACACTCGACAGAATGAAACACTACCACCTTCCTGAGCAAACTTTTCTTACACAGTAACAGTTTCGATGCCCAGAACGCTCTTTACAATTCCTTTGTTTCCAGCTAACCTCCAGTCTAAAAAACTTGGTTCCCCGGTCGTCTCCCGCTGACAGTGTGCTCCTAGACCCAGGGGGAGCTCGGTACCCATCTTTCCTGGGGTCCCTTAGTTTCCTGGGCGCAGCGAATGGTCCCAAATGGGAGCTTGTCACACAGCCCCGCGGTGCGTGTGTTCCCCGGAGCAGCGGCACGTCTCACCCCATTCCTGTGCTTTGCAGTTCTGCAAACCTGTAGTTACGTGAACTAAATGGGACGGCCGCCTCCCTCGCTAAAATTGACCCTCGCTGGCCACCACCATCCGTACACAGGCGTGGGACCACCCCAGTCCCGGCTTCCGGCTGGATATACCAAATGTGGAGGTGGGGGAGGTCCAGAACCGTCACGAAAGTGCCTTTCCACCCTCCACGGCGTGCGGAAAGTGTGAAGATGAAGTGAAGACATCGGCCTCCACTGACGGGAGCTAGGAAAGGGCGACGCTGAGGAACCAACGCGTCCCCGTCCCTCCAACACCAAGACTAGGGGCGCGGGAAAGCCTTACCCGCGCCGGACCCAGCGCTACACCCGCTTCCACAAGGCGCCCTCTCAGCATCACGTGACTGCGCGCCATTCTCACCGATCCCCGGATGTGGGTGAGCCCATTTGCTTGCGCGGAGGGGCGGTCTAGGAGGACGCTACTTCAATGAAAAGTGAGGGGGCAGTGGGCGGAACGAACGTGGCGACGACGGAGGCTGGACGTCGGGTCGGCGGTGACGCGCGTGCGCGCCCCCGCCGGAGGTAACGGCGGGAAGGCTCGGGGGCGCGCTCGCGGCGACCCAGTAACCGCATGGGCGCCCGGTGGACGGGCGAGGGGCGGGCGTGTCTTGGTCCCGAGGCAGCCCTGGCTGCGGTGGCGCCGCGGGCTGCGCGGCCGTATGGCCCGGGGCCGGCTTCCGCCGCAGCCCGCTGGCCACCATGCCCGCCCTCGCCAGCTCGGGTCAGCTGCGGCGCCCCGCCCGTCGGCCTTCCCGCGTACGCCCTGCGGACCCGCGAAGGCGGATATGGCCTTGCCCGGCGCGCGGTCCGGGCCAGCCAGGTGGTCAGCCCCCCCCCAGAGGCCGGGCCGGCGGGAGGGCGGCGGGGGGTGCGAGCAGCTGCCGCCGAGTCCTCGTCTTCCGCGGCGGAGCCAGCTGCGGGCCGCTCTTCCTTTGCAGAGGAGGGACCCCCGGCACAGCCCTCCCGCCTAGGCTGCCATATCTGGTTAGCTTCCCAGCATTGTTGTGACTTAGGCCCTTGAAGGCACGTGCTGCCAGTTCACTTATGGGGGGAATTTAGCAATTCTTAAAAAGTGAGTTAATGTTAGTACAAGAAGTACCGAAGTGTGGCAGAAGTCGTGAAGGACTGAAGAAGTTGGGAAACCCCGAGTTTACGGATTGCTCCGTACAAATCAGGGGTGGGAGATAAATGATAGACTGAGGGTTTAAAAGGGACAGTTCCTTAGGAGCACTTTAATCGTGAAGATACTTGAGGACAGTAAATCTAGGCCCAATGTTTTTCTTACGTTCCTTACAACATCAGAGTAAAAACGAATCTGCAGTCAGTGATTATTTAGAGTACCCTTATTAGCAGGAAGTAGTTTTCATTGAGCCTTACATCCTCTTCCTTAAATTATTTCATTCCTTTAATAAAGCAGTATTGTAGGGTAGGTTCACTGCTGTTACACAGAGTTCCCCACATGCTTGCATTCCATTTTATTTTATGGATGTGAAGACGAAGTCATAATAAGGATCATCAACTACATGTTACTTTCAAATACTTAATCATTGCTGTAGCTTAATGATACAATAAAGGATATGTATTTTCTTAGTTGAAATGCAGTGCCGCCTTTAGATTTGTACAACTTCTTGACCTTCGACTATATCACTGTCAGTGATCAGTATAGTAAAAATGAAATTAAAACAGGTTAGAGATTCCTAAACATTTAGACAGTCACACTGCCCTTAAAAATGTATGTAGATTCAGGTTTTAAAAATTATTTCTAATAAATGCGTATGTTAATTGTACTGTGCCATTTTACTCCCGTTAGAAGGTAGAAGACCTTTGCTTTTTCCTTCCCTTTCCCATTTATGTAGTAGTGGTAGCCAGCTGTGACAGCATCAGTAATCCACTTATCTAATCTTCTGAGCCACCCAGGCGCCCCCAGAGTTACCTACTTAAAAAAAAAGTCACAACTTGATTTGAAATTCATCTGAAGCCAACATGAACAGCGGTTGCAGGGATTGAATTTGTTTTTTTTTTTTCTCTCTGAAAGCTAAATTTGCTTTTTTGGTTTTACAAAGCTGCATTTCTGTCATCACACCTACGAAAATTTATAAAAATTACATGTCAGTATTCAGTCTGGGTTCCGATTTCCCCAGCTGTCCCTTAAATGACTTTTTACAGTTAGCTCGTTTAGATCAAAATCCCATAGAGATCCACATGTTGTATTTGGTTGATACATTGTTTAAATCTTTTTTAATAGAGCAGTTCCCTTGTGTCCCTTTTCCCCCTCAGTATTCTAGGTTTAGCTGATTGCATCCGCATGACATACTTTTAACATGTACATCTTTTCCCTTTAAACCTGTGGTTAGATCTAGAATTGCACTGTGCGCTATAGTAGCCACCAGCCAGCTCTGGCTATTTAAATTAATTAAAATGAAATAAAACTAAAAATTCAGTTCCCTAGTTTCATTAGCCACATTTCAATTGCTCAGTAGTCACAGGTGCCGGTGGCTACCCTCTAAATGGTGCAGACATAAAATATTTCAATAATTGCAGAAAGTTCTGTTGAGTAGCACTGATCTAGAAGATCGGATTTAACCTTAATTTTTTTTTGGGGGGGTCAATAAGATTTCCTAGGTAGTGCGTAGATAATCTATTGTATTATCAGAGAGGTATGAAATGTCTGAGTTGTCTCTCTTGTGTTAAGATTGAGCAGTGTAATGGGTTCAGGTATTGTTAGCCCAATCCATCCATCCTGAAATTC